TTTCCTTTAATACATCAATGATGCAACGTACAATGAAGATCAAGTTGCTATATCTTGATAGCATATTGAATACAAGATATTTAAAGGCTTCAAGAGAGTAATCCTTTATGATACGGCCTCTTTTTAACAATGTGACATTTAGTTATAGATAGCGTACGCTACAGATCGTCTTTGCGATTTATATACACGTCCACGAACATTTTTAGCAGTCTCCTAAAGCGGCTTAACGGCATCCAGGAATAATCCCTTCAAAAAGTTGAAGCACTTGAACGAGTGACTAGTCGCACCCAAATCCGACTTTTCAAAGCATCTCTCGTTCTCTCGTTAACTGTATAAGAATTAGTGAACTTGGTGAAATTCATCTGCCATTTTCGATTCCTTTACTCAATTTTAATTTACTGAATCTCCGGTAATAGTGTTACGTTTTAAATTCGCCTTGATAATTAAAATTATATCAAAGAGATTACCAGCAATTTTCGTCGATCTTCGATATTCATTCAATTAGAAACGTTTGAGATATGAAACTATAAGAGTATATTAATGTTAGAAATGAGGAGAAGTATACTGAGAGGCCCATGGAAGTCAGCCAATATGTTCGTGACTTACTAGAAAGTGGTAGAAAGGATAGAGGTAGATCAGACTACTGCTCGTAAATAGTTAAAGATGTAGTTTTTGAGATAGAAAGAAGTGAAGGTAACCTCTGATGGTAATATATTTAGAAGTAGACTTTTACGTTGGACATGTGTATTTCCACGTTAATGAACTGTTAATTAAATGTTTTAAGAATGTGTTGTTTACAAATATGCTACAATTGTTTCACTTCTGGTGAAGGTTGAACAAACTTGGTCGACACAACACTTAATGAGCATTAAAGAAACATTGTTAGTTTCACCTTTCTATGTGATCTGTCTTCATTTTAACATTTTGAATTTAATACAGTCCAAATCAATTAATTGCTTGCTTTATTAAGGTTTTAGAATTTCCACATTCTGCATCTCAAATTCGCACAGAGAACAAACTTTCAAATACCATACAATCCCTAAATCCTACTTAACATTAACGGAATCCTACGAAATGATTTAATGAGGGCTTTCGTTAATGGTGTTAGTTAGTCTTACCAATAAACTTCGATCTTTGCTGTTAATGATGTAAATTTACCTTGAAGGTAATCACTAATCCCTGTATAGTATAAACTGTTTACCACAATATTTATCGTTGTGGAACGCTCTATTTATATTAATCGTGTACATAACTGCAATAAAAAATCTGCCTTTTGTCAAATTTAATTGGGGTTAATAAGCAAATACCTTTCATAAATACGATCTCCATAAAACTGAGATCACAAGAACAATTTTGAAAAAAAAAAAAAAAAGGAAGAGAAGCCTTTTTAAGGAGAAGATTAAATAATTCTCCCCGCATTTCGACTCACCCCCACTTAAAGGGAGCTTCTTTTAGCTATCTACACAGACCTCCAGATCCTAATAGAACCCTACAAATTTTCCTGTCAGCAGCCGAATGGTTTCGCGTCTAATCCGTTGTTTCCCGAAACCCCGATCGTTTACCCCTTCGGGTATTGTATTACACCCTCAAATTAGCGGCTGGACAAAAGCCAGCAAGTTACTGCTTTTATATCTTCGCTCGATTCTTCTGCCACTAAGTAGCGGCAGGGACGCAAAGCGCCGAGGCCCTACAATGGTCGTAAACTAGCTTCATGCATTGCCCAGTAATTGGTTGTCCGAAGGCTCTTTTAACATCCCTTATACATGCCATAAAAAGAACGAACAAAAGGATTCCTTTTATAGAGTGGCACAAAGCTAAGGTTCCTCTTTATTTCTTAGGCAGTGATACTGCATCACCCTGCTTCCCCTGCTGCAATCGAGTAGATGGTTTACAATGGCTTCCAATTGCATCGTAGCACACGAGTCCTTAATTGTCTTCGTCAGGCTTCACGAAACAACATAAAATACACATTTCTTGAGCTGCATGACTCAAAATTAGTCAATTATTAATCAACTTTTAGTTATAATTGTTAAAAAAGGCTATGTAGCCTATTTTTGAGTATCACTGAATGCTAGGTAAAATGAAATGCTTTGTTGACAATCGTAAGCTATTTCCAACCGAACTGGACGTGTTTCTGGCCTGAATTCTAGTCCTTTGACTAGAAAATCCCATAACTGCTACTATTGCCAGATGACTCTTGACAAATACTGTCGACTCTTACGCCACCTACGACTAGCTACGGTTTTGCCTATTTCTTATTTGTTCACATTGGAGATTGGAGCTATGGCAGTGTAGTACTCCCTATTTCCATTTTGTATTATCTTGCACAATCTATGAGCATTAAGGGTAATATGAGTAGCCTTTGGACAGTTCATGAAAAAGATATCTACAAAAATAATCTTTATATGGAACTACCATTTTATTGAATTGAATTTTCAATAATGCATGTTTGTTTCCTTTAATACAATTTTAAAGCAAAGCAGTGCATCGTTTCTTCGAAACCAATGTATCAAAAAGAGTTAGAATCTTTTATCGACTTACGACTTCACGTGCAATTTGTGTTCGTACAGATGGAATACAAAATGAGATAGATGCTCGGAATTATTTACCAGATGTTAAAAGGTTTTCCTTTATTAATTTATTGATGAAAACGAGAAAATATAGTTGTGTTTTAACGTTTCTTTCTAGCTTCATGAGAAAACTGTAGTTTTGCCGAATACGCTTGTTAAGAAACAGAACGTTTGTGTCATTTTGTCAAATGATTTTAATTCTTTCTGGAGCGCGCTTTCTTACATTAATCCCATTTATTTTGATTAATTTAAACGGCGTATTGCCGCGAACTATTTTCTGCTTATGGCGCGAGAAAAATCAAAGCGACGAATGGGATTTAATACTGGAATTTTTCAATCTCCTCGGATGCTGAATATTTAAACAAGAACAAAGATGAAAGCAAATTGGTCGATCTGCAGACTGTTCTTTATTTGATTTCGTTTCCTTTGCTAACGTACAGTTCTGTGAAAATTGGAGCTGAATATTTACATTTTTCATCGTTTATTTCTTTAATCTGTCGAAAGCGATCGGCAATCAGTTTTTCCATGAAACGTTTTCTTTCGAACGGTAAATAAAATTTCCTAAAATGTATGCAGGTGTCAATGGCCAAATCGGATTTCAATCATAAACTGGCTTTGCCGAAGCTAATCTAATTCATTAGAAGGGTTTGGTTTCGACCAAATAAATTAGTTTTGCCTACATCAAATTAGTTTCTAAATTTCGAACCAAGCAAGAGTAGTTTATCCTAGGAAAATGGAATTGGTGCTATAACAAATTCAGAACAAACCAAAAGCATCAGGTCAAATTGGTCCATTTTAATAAACTACTTTGACCAGCGTAAAACTCACTGTAACATTAAGTTGGATTTGGCAGGGTTTGGACTAAGCCAAAGGATAATTATTAAAATTATAAGTACGACTCTCGAAGTACCTTCGTCATTAAAAAATCTGCTTAGTGATTAATCGATTAATGATATAAAAACTTCGCAAATTAAAAATTAGGATGACAATCAGATAAATCCTTCCATAATTGTACCAAAGCCAAATAAAAGTATTCTATTCCCATTGTGAAGTTTTCAAAGCTATTTGAATTAATAAGTTTTATTGGAATAAGGAAAAAGGATCAAATGGCTGGATATTTTTTATTTGCGGTTGTAAAAGGGACGAAAAGGGCAGAAACAATAAGCACGCTAGCTTAATGGAAAGCCTCCCGCATCAGCACCGTGTACGTCTGTGTATAAAGTAATTTAATTGGCCATCCGTTTCAGAGAGGGCTCTTATCCCACTTCTTCTTATTCCTCTTCCAACTCTTTGGGACTTCGGCTTACCGACAATCATGAATTTTTCTTGCCGTAGCAATTAAAAGAAATTTCCGCAAATTTACGTGCTAGAAAGCATTCGATGTTATATTTTAATAGCGATAACTGTTACGGAGAGATAAAAGTTAATTAGGTGTTTAAAAAAGAAAATTGAAGACTTTTCTTCGTTCGTTTATGTGATATAAATTTTAATGAAGCTTCCTTTAAATTAAAGGACAAAATAACTAATTCAGTTTATTATTCAACTCCTTTTGATACGCTGTTTTAAATTAGAAAAGAAGGAGAGCTAGCTTATTCTAATTTCTTTCAGAAAAATACCATAACAGTGTATACGGTTTGTGATAGGTACCAAAAATTTGCAAAACGGGGTTAAACTGTAAACTCCCGAAGTTACCACAGAAATTGCAATAATTATGGTTGTAGCATAGGGAACATAAACATGTGATACGTATCAATAACCTACAAGATTCTGGTAGAAATGGACTGCAAGTATAGGTTAGGATGATAAAAACGATTCTTTATTTCAAGGCCTTGTCAACTAATAAAGAAACAGACTTAACTTGTAACAATGATATTTTATTGATAACCTTTCTAGACAACGTATTTTGCCATGCTTTTCTTCTATATTGTCATATAGACATGAGTAAAAAGGTACATAAACAAAATAGTATTGGCCGAGATCACAACCCCTGCGGAACGCCAATACTTGACTAGAACGTCAACAGGATCTTAAACTTCTGCAAGCTGCAACAATATATTATCAAATACGATGGCCTCATCTCTTTCATGTCCTAGAAAATAGTACGAAGTGTAATATTTTCTTCGTTTTGTCCTCCTAACCCGCGTTTTAACAATAAATAAAAATTGTTTTCACGGTTGTTGGTGTGAAGCAGTTGTTACGATGCCATTAGACAAATTAAACTTGAGCTGTTATTTTGTCTCATGTACTCTAAAACTTTCAAAAGTACGTCCTTAAATTCACAAATTTTAAACTAGCTGAATAATGATCTCAACAGTTAGAAAGGAAGCAGGGTGAACACGGCCAATTTCACGAAACACTCAAATTCGTCTGGTCTCGGATGTCGGATCGTGGTAATGCTTTATGAAGATGTTTAATTCATAATTTACTCACCAGAGGCTACAGAAAGCACGAACCCAGTCGCAAGCAAGAGCGTCTGCATCTTGAATGATCTGACTCTGTCTTCCAACCTGTAACAAAGCAAACGTTTCATCTCTTATTACTCGGTAAACTTCTCGGAAAAGTGATCCCCCAGGGACGAGTGTACAGTTGGGAAGAAATTATATACATACATTTTTATGCTGTCATGCACCTACACAATTTAAATAAATGTTCAAATAATTAACAAATGACACCACCATGTCGATCTTCACTAAGTTTGTTAAATGTAATTTACTCATTAATTGATCTTGGCAATGATAAACAATTGTTCAATGCCTCTTCGCTTGCAAAATCCGCTTTTGATTATTCACTACGGTATACGAGTCAAAAACATCACTCATAAAACCAAACTAACTGTTTTGCAGAAGATCAATCAAGCGAATTAAGAATTTAGAACTGTCTATTAAAGTCCATCAATATACGTATAAATTTGTAAGTAATATTAAGTTAAATAGATAAAATTCTTCTCTTAGTCTAACGCGAAAGTTGTTAGAACCGTCGGTAACGTAATTCAGTTCGACAAATTTAGAGCTCCGCCGTAAGATTCCTGGCATTTCTCCCTCTGGAAATCGCGCTCTTTTTGACACCGAACACGAAGAACAAATTATTCATTGGTGCGGAGAAACAACGTGATTGACACGTTAAGAGGAAACGGCAAAGTAATTTCCTAGATATCCTCACAAAGGAAGAAATTCCGCTTTAATTTCAGATATCTGTGATAAAAGCTGTCTACCAATGTCAAAAAACAATTGATACACTTATTGTTTTCACAAGTTCGATTTAGGTGTTTGATATTATTTTATTTTTAGAAGATCAATAATTCTCACTGCCTATTATATTCCACTACAAAAGCAGTTACTCCAAGTCACAACACAACTAAAAATAATAGATATGAATCTCGAATTGAAATTCCTAATTCTCAGTAAAAATTTACGTCAAAGATAAAGTTGAACACTTTTGATACGTATATTGTTATTAATTTACAACATTGAATCATTGTTCATATACCTATTCCCAACATGTCAATAACTTATTATACATCTGTCATTGGTTTGACCCTTTCTTGATAGGACCAAAACAAATAAATTTTTACTGATCATTTCTTTTTTTCTATTTATTGACAATAAACTCCTCACCAAGTTTGATTAAATTCAAACAAAACTTAATGAGAACACGACATTTTAAACAAAATGTCCCATCAATCAAACACATCATCATCATCATCATAAGGTCGTCAGTCCTAAGACTGGTTGGGCACGTACCTCCACTCTTTCCTATCCTGAGTTAATCTTCGCATTTCCCTAAAACTAGAACAACCTACACCCTTAACTATTTGCGAACAGTAATCTAATCTAGGTCTACTTCTACCCCTATGAACTCCTGTTTCTGCCTCTAATATGTCTCTGACTAAACCTTCATGCCTGAGAAGGTGTCCTACCAACCTATCTCGTCTATTTCTTATTAATTTCCATAGAGTCCTCTGTTCTCCTATTCTTTCTTCATTTCTAAACTTCTCTATCCACGGTATTCTCATACATTTCGAACTCTTCTAACCTTTATTTCTTTTCCGCTGCACCCACTGTCCATGTTTCGCACCCGTACACAATACGTAAAAATTAAACGAAATCAAGACGGAAAGGGTTATCAATTAAAAGCTCTTTAAACTTGAAAATAATAGGAAACCTTTTAGATACTTAAATTCAGTTGACTACAACACCATCGAAACAGGAAACGAACCCTAAATGACACCAACGACCATTACAGTAACAATTCCGTTCAAAATAATGGTTTAATTCGTACGTGTGCAGCATTATTACGACGGAATTTCACCAACATAAACAAATAATGACCTTTTCTGCTTGTTCTGTTTGCATATTCCTGAATTCCGTCGTCGAAAATGTCAAAAATTAAATCTCTTTGACGCATGTAGCCGGATTGGGCATACATCTAATCCAACTCTGACATTAATGGAGTCCATTGAACGGTTAATAATTCATAACAAGATGGAAGCTTCAGCAGACGTCGTCCATGGAGCTCTGAGATGGTCCTAAGCACCCATTAGGCAGTCCTTACTGCATATATGCCTTCCTGCAACTCGTTTGCATTTAAAGTAGCTTAGTGGAACACGGAGAAAATGCTGACCGACCGAATTAAAGCGAACTCCAACGTAGATACTACTATACGTACATGGTGATATCGTTATCACCTTTCAGAACGCTCCGCTCGGCAGCAAAAAAAGGAATAACTCGAGCTGGTTTCAGTCGCAGTCGCAACTGAAGAAGAATCAGCACGCGATTTTATCTGTTCTTTTCCAAATTGCAAATCAGCATGGAGGACGAGTAACTTTCGGCCTTTTCCTATGTGGCAGGAAAAATGTTTTTGATAAAGACAGTAAATTTTGACTTACTTAGTGGGGAACGATAACATCTAGACATTTGCATGAGTTACATGCAGCGGACCAGTTGAAAGAGTTGAGGTTATGTTAGTAAACTTTATTGGATTCAAATAAAAACTTAGAAAACGGTAAAAATAGCATAAAAAAAAGGGAACACGTCTCCATTGAGGATGTCGCATCTTTTTTTAGAACAAACTCACCAACGGTGACTCATGGTTACAATGGGTGACGATCACGTATCTAGCTTTTTACTTGGGCATTAATTAAGACCATTAGAAGTGCTATTTGATTTATATACTTTTTCGTTTTATTACATTTCGTAGTTAAATGCGCGTTTGAACACCTAGACGTAGAATTCCAAGGAAATTTAAATTTATACTGTTCTGGATTATCTAATCCGTCCTTAAAACCGTGTAGCTTTAACAGATCGCTTATTGTTTGGCAATAAATCTCCCAAGGCGTTTAGTCACGAACGATGGGCTTCTGAACATCAGT